TCCCCTCTGATTCTATGCATTATCCAAAAATCTCTCCTTAATTTGGATTTCATTTCTGATCCCCGTCCTTATTTCTGTCGGCCGCAAGTTTCATTTCTAGGGTTGTTATGGCGGATTTTGATCAAGAGCTCTCGGAGCGGCTTAACAAAGTTGCCCTTTCTGTCAATGAAGAAAAAATCTTTGATATAGCTCAGAACGACATTAAGCTCAGTGATGACGAGTGCAATCGAAGCCTTTTCGGTAAAATAGTTGGAGATAGGCCAGCAAGCTGGATTGGTATAAAGCGAGCAATGTCCCAAATCTGGAAGCTTAATCAAGCTATGGAAGTGAAAGAACTCTGTCCAAATTATTTTCAATTTATTTTTCAAAACCGGGATGATATGAAGAAGGTGGCTAGTGGTACCAATTGGAGTTTCGAGAACCAGTACCTAGTCTTGAAAGAATGGGATATGAATATCAACAGCAAACACCCTAGTTTCCGGGAGTTGAATATTTGGGTCCAGGTTCAAAACATTCCTCTCAATTGGATCAGTACGGAAGTGGGGCTCAAGATAGGCCAGGCCTTCCACAAGGTCAAGAATGTGGTTATTGCGACTACAGGGAGTCATGGAGGTAAGATTCTAAAACTCTTAGTCACTCTCAATGTGGAAGAATCTATTCCTCGAATGGCTAAGGTGAGGCTGGGAAATCAGTTAGTGACAGTCGGCTTCAAGTACGAGAAACTCATCAACCTCTGTCACTATTGCGGAAAAATTGGTCACTTAGATAGAGCATGCCAATTAAAAATGGATGATATTCGAAACAATTCTCTCAGAGAAGAGCAGTATGGTGATTGGTTAAGAGCTCCTGATGGTGTTAAAGGAAATCCTTCCAGTTTTTCAGGCTCTAGATCAACCCCACCTCCAGAATCTCCATCACCCTCAGATAACAATATATCCCAGAAAGCTTCTTCCAGTCAAGGGCAAGCCAATAATCAAATAATCCCCAGCACTGGAATAATTGAGTCACCAGCTCGGTCAATGGGTGCACCTTCTGTAGTCTCAACTACTGGTAATGCTGCAGAGATGGAGAACCTAGAAGAAGCTAATCTGCAAATTGTGGATGCTAACCCCATGGATCTTGAAAAAGGAGAGTTATCCCCAATCTCAGAGTTCACATTTCATCATGAGTCTCTCCTAGCATCTCAACATCATCCTCTGAAATCATGGAAAAGAACAGGTACAAGATTGAACAGACTTCTCAGTACCAATGATTCTCCTATTATTATTGACCAGCAGTCCAAGGGCAAAAGAATCAGGCAAGTTGTGGACTCATCTACACTGCCTGAGGATCATGATGTTCAAACTCAGGCTCAACTCAAAAAACAAAAAACTGAAATGGAAAAGGTAGGGGTGGCCAGCCTTGAATGGCCCCACCCTGATAAATGTTAGCTCTGGTGTGGAATTGTAGAGGGCTGGGTGGGCCCTCTACAATTACCCAAATCAGAGAGCTCAAGAAAGCTCATCACCCCAATTTTATCTTTCTTTCAGAAACAAAAAAAACCAAATGCCTTTGTCAAGTCTGTTTGTAATAAGTTAGGTTTTGTTAATAGAATGGCTATTGTAGACCCCTCTGGTCTTAGTGGGGGTCTTGTTTTGTTGTGGGATTCCCAAGTTGTTGTTAATCAGATTATCTGTAAAAACTTTTTTATTGCTGTTGAGTTCCAGTTGCAGTCCCAACCCCTTCAATGGGGTGTTTTTGTCTATATTAGTCCTCTCAGACTGACTAGAGAATCCCAATGGGAGGAATTAATTACTGCTAAAGCTCAATGGGGATCTCATTGGTTTTCAATTGGGGACTGGAATGACATCCTCTC